GCATCACAAAGAATGGCAGAAACATGAGATTTCGAAGCTCCGCGCGGATCTCGTGGATCTGCGTTGGGGCCCCCCCTGGCGGCGCCTACGGCGCCCCTACTGACGCGGTCCGCGCGCAGGTCCAGCGCAGATCCAAGGAATCCGCGCGCACCACCGAAAGTTTTTGATTTTGCAGTTCGTTGATTCTTTACCAGAATGAAAAACACAGACGCAAATCAACATCGATTCCTGGGGAGACATGGGAAAGATGGGAAGTGGAGGGGAAGACGAACGTCCAGTAACCTTTGGAAAAGATTGGTAATCCTAGAATTCGTGTCTACTTGTATCGTCCTCGGGATTCCGTCGCAACGCGCCATTGCAAAGGGCCGCGTTGGTCGTCGTCGCGGTCGTTTCCCGTTCATGCTAAATGATAGTCGTCCCTATTTTGTTTTCTGCACCCGCGCATCGTTGCTCGCACGCAACGTGTTCGCAACTGGCTGGACACCGTGCCAGCACTGGCTGGAGGGCACCGTAAAGTACCCTGTCGGTGGGCTTCAGGAGCAAACCCTTGGGTAATTAGCAGCAGCAGCCGATTCAGCCGATGAAAAGCCAGTCGTCACCTTTGGCGTCGTCCGCATCGTTGTCGTCGTGGTCGTCCTCGTCGTCGTCGTCGTCGTCGTCGTCGTCTTCGTCGTCGTCTTCGTCGTCGCCCGCGTTTGGTCAGGCTAAAGGGCTGCGCGCCTATAGCCCTTCCAGGCAGTCCCGGACGGCCTCGACGGGCCCCCGGGGCGGTCTCAGCGCCTCAGCCTCGGGGCGCTCCGCGCCCCGGGGGGGGGCGCCGCCAGAGGCGGCCCCATAGGGTGACTTGACCGCCCTGGGCTGCTCGGGGGGCAGCCCAGGGCTCCTCCTCCTCCTCCTCCTCCTCCTCCTCCTCCTCCTCCTCCTCCTCCTCCTCCTCCCCCTCCTCCTCCTCCTCATCCTCCTCCTCCTCCTCTTCCTGGGGGGCGCCGCCGGCGCGCCGCCGGGAGCCTGCCGCCGGCGCCCTTGAGGACCCGCCGGGGCCGCAGGCGGAGCCGGGCGCGGCGGCGGCGCCGCAGGTGCGACGAGAAGTACCCTGACTTTCCGAGAGGGCTAAAAAAATGACACGCGACTTGAAGACCTATCCCAAGGCTGTTCTACGTCTTGGTTTTAGGCTGTTTCGCTCCGCTGTTTAGGTTTTTGGGCCTCCAGTGCTAAAAAATAGCTCTCTGGAAGGTCAGGGTAGACGTACCCTGACCTTCCAGAGAGCTATTTTGTTTAGCACTGGAGGCCTAAAAACCTAAACAGCGGAGCGAAACAGCCTAAAACCGAGACGCGGAAGAGACGTACCCTGACCTTCCAGAGAGCTAGTTTTTTTTAGCACTGGAGGCCTGAAAACATAAAAAACGGCGCGAAGCACTAAGCACTCTAGTGCGGCGGGCCCAGTGGGGCACCCCAATCGCCGAACGCGATGCTCGGGGGCGGAAAAGAGGGGGGTGATGACTAGGGGGGGGCGATATCATGGCGTGGGTCATCTTAGTTCCCCAGATTTCGTGGCGCCTCTTCTTATTTCATTACGTCTTGACTAGACGTACCCTGACCTTCCAGAGAGCTTTCTTTTAGCACTGGAGGCCTAAAAACCTAAAACACGGAGCGAAACAGCCTAAGACCAAGACGTAGAAGAGCCTTGGGATAGGTTTTAAAGTCGCTTGCTATTTTGTTAGCCCTCTTGGAAGGTCAGGGTAAGAGTGACCTTTCGCCGGAGTGATCTCTAGTGCGGCGGGCCCGGTGGGGCCCCCCAGTCGCCGAACGCGATGCGATAGTGGCGTCTTGCGCGCCTGAGTTTGGCCCCCCCGCGGCCCCCAGAGAGCCGCGCACCAGAGGTCACTCTTAATTACCCAGGGTCACTCCTGCGTGTGGCCGGCAGGTGTGCGGGCAGTGCCAGCAGGGCGCCGACGCGTGGTGCAAGCAGTGCGAGGAGCGCCCGGCTGCCGGAGCGGGGCCGAGCTCCCCCGCCGGAGTGGCTCGTGCGCTAGGCTCCTCGATGTTTTGTTCGGCCTCGGGGGGCCTGGCCTCGGGCCCGGGGTCCGCGAGCGCCCGAGGGCAGCAGCGTGCATGCGCCAGCGGCCAGGCGAGATTGCGGATGCTCAGAGCCCCGAATCATCAGGGGTAATTCGGGTCAGGGCTAGCTCGGGTTCGTTGTTCCGGAGTCCGAAGCCGAGTTGCCCCGGGCCCGAATTTCCCCGGATAACTCGGGCGTCCAGAGCCCCAAATCATCAGGGATAATTCGGGTCAAGGCTAACTCGGGTTCGTCTTTCGGGAAGCCAAACCCGAGTTACCCCGGGCCCGAGTTACCCCAGATAACTCGGGCGCCCAAGATGCGCTCCGTGGCTCAGGAGGGGAAAAACACACACAGACACAATGAATCGTCGGCTTCCAGGAAAATATATGAAAATATGGGATGTGGGGGGGAAGACAAGAAAGAGCCCAGAAAATATGAGAAAATATAGGGAATCCTTCTGCTTGTGTCTATTTATTTGTGTGTCCCAGGGCCCCTTCAGTGGCGATGGGCACAGGCCGTGCAAACCCTTTCTCGGGCTGTGCGCCGTGGCACGCAGGGCGCCGGTGCGGCGCGGGGCGGCACGCGGCCCCCACATGGGGTGCAAGCGTTTGCAGCCAGTCGCATTCGCGAGGTTTTGCGCTCATTGCTCCCACGTCGTCGCAGGCAAGCTGGCCCCAGGGGAGGGGGTCGGGACATCTGGGGCCGCGCACAGAAGAAAAGCACGTCGAGGTTTTCCAGGTCATCGGGCAGTTTCCTCGGTTACGACCGGCTTTCCAGCCTCGAACGCCATGCCTTCCAGCGTTTGCGCCTCGCCGACAGGCGTCTTGGGGTGCCCAGATCGTCCCGAACGGCCGCCGGAGAGCCTTTCTGGCCCGAAACTCGGACGACGAGGATCGCTGGCCAGGAGGAGGAGAAGGAGGAGGTGGAGGAGAAGGAGGAGGAGGAGGAGGAGGAGGAGGAGAAGGACGACGACGAGGAGGAGGAGGAGGAGGAGGAGGAGCAAGACGACGACGGGGGGAACGGCTCAGCGAGGCAAGCATCGACACCCCCTCGCCCGCTCATCGCCCGTCGGGGCCTGGAGGCCAGGCCCCTCACCCCGCCCAGGAAGGTATTGTTTTTCGCCATCGAGGGCCAATCGCCGATCTACCTGCGATGAGTCGCTGGATCCAGGTCGGCGTTCCCCTCCTTGCTGCATCGGGGATGCGGCGCGAGATAAGGCCCGATGTTCTCTATCCTCGGGGCCCCAGGAACCAGGAATTTGCCTGGTGCATCGGAAGAGAAGACGAAGAATGGAGATTGCCTCGACAAGCGGCTGCAGTTCTCGGGGCCCGGGTTCGTCGATGCGGTGCGATCGCCCGACCTTCTTTGCCGCATCCCTTTTGAGCGATCTCCCGAGGAGCTGTTCTGCAGCGTCTGCGCGGCCAGCATGCACCGGCGCGGCAAGATGGCGGACACCGTCCGCCGCAAGCTCGCCGTTCCGCTCGCCGCGAGCTTTCGGTGCGATCGAACTTCCGGGTAACGCAAGGCTCGAGCTCGCCAGAGCTCGGGTTTGCCGACGCGTTGTGACGAGCTCGTCCTGGCTTTCGGAGGCGGGAAAAGGTTCCTATTTCGCTACCCTTCCCGCGCTTTTCCCCATGTTTGGGCTTCCTCGGAGGCCCCTCCTGACCATCGCTGGATGCGCTTCGAAATTCTGGTCACCCTGACCTTCCAAGAGGGCTAAAACATAGCACGCGACTTAAAAGCCTATCCCAAACCTATTCTACGTCTTGGTTTTAAGCTGTTTCGCTTAGTTTTTTAGGTCTTTAGGCCTCCAGTGCTAAAACATAGCTCTCTGGAAGGTCAGGGCGGAACGTACCCCGGAAGACGTCCATGGAGTAGCGGTATCGGTGCTTTTTGGGATCCCGGGGATTTTGACTGTCCAGTCCCCGTAGAATGCTTGCGGCCGGAGCTCGCGTCGAATCTCGCTGCGGGTCTCGGCATTCTCTCGGTGGCCCCGTCAGGCCAGCCCGAGTTCCCCCAACCCGGCGTCCCCCCGAGAAATGGGCGCGGAAAACGTGGGACGGAGACCGACAGCAGTTCCTGCCCATGTTCAGCAGGGGGATGCTGACTCTGTCGCCGCGGACGCCGTCCGTTTGAAACAAAAGGTCGCTTGCCCAACAGCGGCCGCTGTCGGATTTTGGGCAGCATTTGCTGCTGGGCGTCGTGCCCATATCGTGCGTGCCCATCTCGTTCGTGCCAAGCTTCGAGACCAGCCGCGGCAGGGTGCTCTTCCTCGTTCCCCGTTCCCGCCTCCCGCCTCCTCCGCTTCCCTCCTCCCCCCTCCCCCTACCCTCGTGCTGTCTCGAAGGCAAGGGCATTTACAATCTGCACCTGCTGAGCGTGTGCTTCCACATGCTCGCTTCTTGGGGGCAGTGGCGGGCCCATTCCCCCAACCTCTGCACGTTTCTCCCGCCCGTCCCCCCTGCTTCTTCCGCCCGCCCCACCCCGGGACGGGGCCTGGCGCCAGGGAGCAGAGCCGGCCTGCACGAGTCGAGAGAGCTTCACAAGTCTGCCTGCAGAGCGCTCGGAGCCCGCACGACCGTGGCGAGAGGCCTGCTGCTCGGTGTCGACGGGCTCCTCGCTGCTCGGCCCCTCTCTTGGGCCTGGAGCAGGCACCCGCCCACGATGCCGAGGTCATCCACTGCGGCGGCAGCAGGACCACGAGGCGGCTGCGTCGTCGACTGCAACGCCGACGTCGAGCTGCGTCGCCGACTGCGGCGACGACGTCGCTATGGAGCGTCGTCGACCGTCGTCGTCGTCGTCGTCGACGACGACGACGACGTCGACGACGACGACGACGACGACTGTCGACTGCGGCGGCGCCAGGACCACGAGCTGATCGGCAGCTCCGACGTCCGGGCCGGCGTGGCGGGGATGGCCGCGGCGGCGGCCCGGGCTCGGGCGCGCCTCGGCGAGGACGCCCGCGCGCGGCCCGGCGCCCGCCGCCGCAGTCCGCAGGCCGCAGGCCCCTCCTCCTCCTCCTCCTCCCTCCTCCTCCTCCTCCTCCTCCTCCTCCTCCTCCTCCTCCTCTTCGTCGCCGCGGTCGCGCTAAAACGACGCGAAGATCGGGACAAAATCGGATCGGGATAACTCGAAATCTCTGAGAATCGGCGGGTTTGGAGGATGTATTGGGCGCCGCGGCCGCTCCAGAGCGTTCCGGAACGCTCTGAGAGCGCTCCGGAACGCTCTGGAGCGATTTATCCCGATCCTAGCCCTGTTTTACGCGCCGTGGAGAGAAGCTGCAGCAGCAGAGCGGGGGGGAGGGGGGACGGCTTCTTTCAGGAGGCAAAAACACACACACACACACACACCGGCGATGCCCAGGAAAATATGGGAAAGGGGAGTGGGGGGGAAGACGAAAACCCAGAAAGTATGGAAAATATTTGGGATATTTTTATCTGCGTGCATTTATTTGTGTGCCCCAGGGCCCCTTCATTCTTGGAAGCACCCCTGCTTCTTAGAAGGCGCAGGCCTCGTCTTTAGATGTAAGGCCAGCGCCTGCGAAGGAAGCAGCCTCCTGGTAAGAAGCCCTCCCCCCTCCCTCCACCCCCTTTGTGCGCGCCGCCCCAAGGAGGTCCGAACTGCCATTGGTAAAGCAGTGGCGAGGCGCCCTGGCTGGCCCACAGGCCCAGGAAAGGATGCGTTACGAATCCGTAGCCTTTTGGCCCCGGCATCTCAGGAGGACGCGACAGCCACACCCCCACACACTCACACTCAGAAGGCCGCCCGGATGGCGCTCGCGCGGCGGCGATGCATGTCGGCGTGCCGCGGGCGGCCGGGCCCCTGGCGGCCGCCCAACTCCGCGCCGTGCCCCTCGTGCTGCAGGCCAGCCAGGGGCCGCTCCGCGGGGTGCTGCCGGGCGCGCGTGACGCCGAGCTGCCCTGACCTTCCAGAGAGCTATTTTTTTTAGCACTGGAGGCCTAAAAGCATAAAAAACGGAGCGAAACAGCCTAAAACCAAGACGTATAATAGCTTTGGGATAGGTTTTTTAGTCGCGTGCTATTGTTTAGCCCTCTTGGAAGGTCAGGGTGGGCGGCTTGACTGCCGCAGCCCCCGGGCTGGCGCGCGCGGCCGCGGCACGCGCGGCGGACGGCGCCGCGGGCGCCGCGGGCGGCGGGGGCGGGCTTCCGCGGCGGAGGCCCTCCGCAGGCGCCCGGGCCGACGCGCAAGCCAGGGACGCTTCCCAAGGCGCTCGTGATGACCGAGATGAGCAGGTACCCTTTCAATTCAACCAACGAGAGCCTCACTGCGATGACAATAGCGGCCGCGCCGTCCGTCGTGACGCCAGAGCACAGGCTGATCGAAGCGAGCGGCGCCCGGCTCTTACATCACCACCGTCACGGGGGCAAGCCCTCACTTGCTGTGGCGCGCCCAGCTGGTGCAGCGCGCGATCTTGCTGAGCTTGGGTCCTCGGGGCGGCTTCTCGCACACCTGCGAGGCTCCCTGCGTGCACGCTGGACTCCGATCATGAGCTTGTGGGCAACATGGTGGTGTCTCCAAAAGAGTCCGGATGGGATCCTGAATCTCGAGATTGGGGAGACCAAGCTCGATTTCGCGTACGGGCAAACATTCCACGTGGCCGAAGCGAAATTTCCATTCGGCATCATCCACGAGGTGCGGCGCATGAAAGAGTCTGGGTACCCCATGCCTCGATGGTGGATGGTCCGCGACGATGACACCTACATGCACGTGGAACATCTGATGAGCGCCATTGAGGCCCATGGCGAAACTCGCCATTTTCCCCAGCCGCTGCACGTGCAATTCATCAGCTTCCATCCTCCATGTGGGAAAAGCATACGTGGTGGAGGGTGCTGGGTCCTGAGCGCCGCGTTCGCGGAAATGCTTGCGCGGCAGATCGGGGATTTATGGATGTAGTTCCAGGCGAACAGGGTGATGGAGGGAATGCCGCATTCCGACCTCCACGTGAAGAAGGTCTTGACTTTGGGTGGACGGGCGGCGCCTCTTCACCCCACTAGAGATGAACCCGTTCGCCCCCAAGTCCGACAGCTGCGACTGGAGACCCACCGGTCGCGACAGCAGGAAGTGCGTCAACGCGTTCGCGCGCGCCTGCGCGATCTCCCAGACGCCGTCGACGTGGCACCTGCACCTTCGGAGACCCGCCGAGGCGCAACAAGTGATGGCCCTGCTCCAGAGCAGCGGATTTGTTAGATAATAGGAGATCCGAGCAGGAGCAGAGCAGAGTAGAGCAAAAGTAGAAAGTAGGAGCAGAGCAGGAGCCGAGTCCGCCAGGTCGGGCGAGTCAGAGGGCCCCGCCTGTGGCACGAATCGATAAGTCGAGCAGAGCGGAGCAGAGCGGAGCAGAGCGGAGCAGAGCGGAGCAGAGCGGAGCAGAGCGGAGCAGGGCAGGATAGGGATAGGGCAGCACGCCGGAGACAGCGGGGCGCGGGCGCGGCGCGGGCTCGGGCTCGGCTGCCCGCGCGCCGCTGGCCCGCCGAGTCCGTCGCCGCCGCGCCCCCCGCGGGGGCGCCGCGCGCGCGGCCCCGCTGGGGTGGGCACCAGAAGAAGGAGAAACCAAAAGCACACATATATATATGTATAAATAAAAACGAATTTACCTGGGGTTGCACGACGTGCTCCTAGCTCGTGTTTGGCCGAGGCCGCCCCCGTTTCATGCGTCGGCCTATGTGTCCCAACAACATTGTCTAGGGGCGTTGTATGGTTTCAGAGAGGTTTCGCGGTGGGCTCATAGGAATGCCGGGGCGGTCGGCCCCCGCTCAAATTCGGAGCCATTTACCGCGTAGACGGCCGCCGAGACCGCCAGCAAGCCCCCGAGGCCTCTTGTCCGCGACCTCCGTTCTGGCTGGAGGCCGCCGACCATTAATCAGACGCAGCGCGGGCCAGCTAAATGAGCGAAGCGCCCCGCCGCCGCGCCAGGCACGGCGCGCAAGATCACGCTCGCATGTTTTGCAAGGGACAGTCCTCGTGAGTCTTCTCATCAGACCTCTCGCGCCGATCCTTGCCCTCGAGCTCCTCCGAAACCGTCTAGCGTCCAGGGGTGCCCCCCCAGGGCCGCTTAGTCCGCCAGCCCACGGGACTTGGACCCAGCCAGGGCGCCCACTGGCCACTACTTCCGCGCCGGGCCCGCGATCCAGGTGCTCGGTTTCTGGGCGCCGCCGGGCCCTCTCAGAGACCTCCGTCAGAGGGTCCCAGACCGGTTTGCGAGGCCTCTCGGGGTCTTCCTGGGCTTACCTCGAGGGTCATAAGGGGTTATTTTGGGCCGTTCCGGATGCCTCTCCACCTGGTTCGGGTTTCAAATATCTGCGACGCCCGATGGGCAATCTCTGCGGTGAGAGTTTGCGGATGCCAGCCGTGCTGAGATTTTTCGAGATCTTGCGTCTTCAAGATTTGCTGAGCCCCATCCTTTATGATTGCATGTGCGCGCGTGCAGTTGGCCACGTCGTCATCGCGGCCATCGGCGGTCATTCCGCAGCCTGCTTGGGCAACGTGGGCTCGTAGTGGAAAAGAGCCAGCGAATTCTGTCCTTTCCGGATAGTTCTCCAAGGTAGTGGCGCTGTGTTTCTTTACAAGGTAGCTGCGCACCCTGGCCACGGCGTCGCGCGCAGCCGCCATGCCACCGACATCTGGAGGTCGACGTGAACAGCAGGGGCGGGCGCTGGACGGATAGCCGACGCAGGCTAGATCCAGGATTGACAGGGGCCCTCCGCCACGGGTCACAGAGCCAGCAGATGATTACCTGAACGGCCTCTTCTGCGCGGGGTCTGTCACATGGAAGGCTAACGCGACGACCCGCGAAAAGAAGATGAAAAAGGCGTCGTTGTGGGGGCTCTCCGTGGACAGGCTCGTGCGGCGCGCGAGAAGATAACGGACGATGCCGGTGCCTCGGTAAATCGCGTCGAATTGATCTTGCGCGCCCTCGACAACGCGTTCACCCACTTCAGGGATGATGAGACCCTGGGGGCGCTGGAGAAGGCGCTGCGCGCCTGCTCGAAGGGCCCCCGGAAGGAAAAGTTCTCCACGCTGGCCTTTGAGCGTCTGAAGGTCGATCCTGTTGCCGGACGCGCTCAAGGGATGCTCATCAATGCGTTTCGCTAAACTTGACGAGAGAGCATATGATATAGTCATCGGTTGATCCGACGGCGGCTACGATTTCGACAACATTTCCCAGGCCCTCTCGCGACTGGACCGCCCCGACCGACGAGCAGGACTTCGAAGACCAATCTCACGTTCTTCGGTGGAGATGCGGATGACACAACCTCGGCGCTTCCACTGCTTCCGGTCGATCTGGATATGAGGGACACCACGGACGCGCGAGGCTCCTTCGGGGCCGCTTTGGTCGGCCACGAGGACGACGGGTGCGACGAGGTTTCGCGGCGTTCTGCAGGTTCCAAGCGCACAGCCATTCGAGGAATCTTCTACCTCGCTTCGGAGTGGCTTGACGGCGTCCTCGGGGAAGACGACCCCCCGCGGGCGCAGCTGGACACGCGCCCGGCCATTAGCTATCCGGTCGAGCACAAGAAGGTCCGCAAGGTTTTGAATGATGCACGGAAGGCACGGAGTTTCTGCAAGCGAAAGGGCGGCGGTAAGCACGGAGCCTTCAGGAGACTGGACGGACAATTCCAAGGGCAAGGGCAAAGGCGAGGACGGCCAGCAACGCCAAATCGCCATCAGTTCAGGTCCAGGCTCGCAAAATGCAAGCAGGTCGGTCACTGGGCGCGCGACTGACTGCAGAATCGCGATGCTTAACGCACCGCCGCCGGCGTTTTGACAACGCGCGCAAGTTCCGGGCGCAACGACAGCTTCAACGTCGAGGAGCCTGCACGCAAGAGGCGCGGTCAAGGACAAAGTTCAACCTCGTCTGCTTCCGGAGGCGCGGTCAAGGTTTGCATCGGCATGATCGCCGCGGTCATCACCTACGCCACCCAGGCATTCGAAGTCTTGGTGGACGCGCAGGACGGCATCATTGGCAAGCAGCAGCCGAAGGCCTAGGCAGAGATGCGCAAAGAGGATTGACCTACCACCCAGATGGGCGCCAGACAACGGACCACCACCACGAGGCATCAGATGCGACGCGGAGCTGACCGGCCATGTGGAGCTTCCGGCGGGCATCGCTGGCGCCAACGGCATCGTGCCCCTTCTTGTTCTGGACGAGCTGTTTATTGCGCTGCTCCCGCTTGGTCTGGCCAGGGCCATGGAGATGGACTTGAAACTGGGTGCTTCGGGAGACCGGTTTGTTCTGCAAGTTCGGCGCTGGGGCAGCGCTGCGCGAGATTGGAGAGAACGGCCGCGCGGCCGCCGGGGCCATCGAGCTCGCGCCTGGAAAATGGCGCGACAGGGATTGGAAAGGAGCCGCCAGGTCCTTCGCAGCGGTCGAGGTACCACCTTCGACGCCGCCAGCCATTGCCACAGCAGCGCCGACGCCATCACCGCGGTCGATCGCCAGCGCAGCATCGACGACGCCACCGCCAGCGCCGAGCCCCTCTCTGGCAGCGTCAACGGCAGCAAACCCATCATAACAGATAGCACAGCGCATGCCGATGGCAAGTACAGCGCCACGGACTGCGAGTGCAGCGATACAGGCAGCAAGCGCAACATCAAATACAGCGAGTACAGCGCCCAAGGCGGCAAGTGCCGCGTCAGGCACGGCAAGCGCGGCGTCGCAGATAGCAAGTGCATCACCGCATATATCATGTACATCACCACAGGTAGCCAGCACGGCGTCTAGGAGCACAAACGCCGAAAGGCAGAGAGCAGGAGACGCAGTCAACGAGGAGACGAGGCCGATGCTTAACAGCTCCCTTGAGCTGGAGTAAACAATGAGCAGCCAGCTACGAGGCCCCAGACAATGCTGCTTTCTCCCCGCAGCAGTCCGCGCCCTGCTTCCGAGATTCCGGCAGAGGCCGATGGGGGTCTGTTATCCAGGATCTCGCACCATCCGCCAGCGGCGGCGGCTTCCGAGTCCAGAGCGGAGCTCGATGCGGTATACCGTCGGTTGCAGAGCGGCGTCCAGAGAGGGGTCACTGGCTTGACGGCGACGAAGACGAGACGTTCGGCATCGGGGACTCGCGGGGGCTCCTCAGCCACCGCGGCAGCTGCTACATCGCGAAGGCGACGTCGCAGCCAAGGCCCGCTGGGTCGTGAATCGTTTCAGGGGCCATGGCGTCATGGAGATCTGGAGGAGTTGTCTTGCGTCGCAGTTAGAGACTATCCAAGTCGCTAGCCTTTGTACGCCAAGCCACCAGCTGGCGGGCAGCTATCTCGCAGCTTTCGGCGTACGGACTGGCAGCCGTATTCGACGAGACCGCGAGGTGGATGGGGTGGCCAGTGGCAGGGGAACCTGGATGGGGTGCGATAGTCGACTGGCTCTGCAAGCCGATCTACCGCATGAACATCTACGACCCCTGCCTCTTCTGTCTCTTTCACAACAACCAGCGCCAGGATGGCCAGGAACTCACCGTACAGGGTTTTTTTTTTTCTGGAGGTTGACAATGCAATGCGCTATCTGTTGGTGCCGAGAAGCACACGAACAAGAGGCAGTAGTTGAGGGGCACGATCATGTGTGGACATTGGCACATTCTCAATCGAAGTGGGCCTCGTTCTATCGCAGGGCGTTCGAGCTCAGGCGCGGTAGGATCTCGGGCGCCAGAGCGCAGCCGACCGAAGGTGAGAAGAGCCAGCGTTGAGCCGTTATCGGTGGTATTGGATGGGTTCACGACAGGTTCGACCAGAGGAGGCATCGACAGCGTCGTTGTTGTAGAGTTCATTCGGTGAGGCCGTCGCGAAAGATCTTCCCGACGCCAATGCAGCACTGCGCCAACTTGAAGGAGGCCCAGCTCTTGGGCTTCGTGCGAGTGTTACCAGCGTAGTTGGCGGAAGTTTTGGCACGGACAAAGGTACTGGGGTGTCTCAGGGGAATTTTTCGTGGCGCGCATTACTACGACAGCGCTTACCTACACAGATTTGGCCCCATGCAGTATCACGAGTTGGGTGAGTCACACAATCAAGCGAGAGGTTGGTAGCACTCTGGCGGCGGAGAGCTTCTGTTTCATCGACGCACTTGCAGGTGCGGAATAGGGTCGGTCGTTACGGCATGAGCCTACGCGGGGCGACTTCGACCCAACTGCGTCCATCCCAGGTCGTTATTTCCTTACGGTTCCAGCTCGCAGGAGCGACACCACCATTCCAGTATATCCTAGCATTGTGAGCGCCGTGGATGCCAAGTCTTTGTTTGAGAACGTGGCGAAAGAGACGACTGGTTGCAATGGTCGTATACATGTTGTGGAGCTGCGTGTTTGAAGGCAATCCATGCGTGCGGTTAAGTGAAGAGCCAGACGGGTCCAGCACCACTGCGTGCTGGCAGGCGCATCCACCAAGCGTTCCCCCAGCACGGCGGCGTTCCAAGTTTATGCGCTCTGGGCGTCATCGAATTTCTGCGGAACACCAAACTATGCGGATATGATTTTTGTTCACATCCCGATCCCGTCGTTAACCCCACTCCGCCGCACGCGCCCCATTTTTGTCCCCTCGCGGAGCCCCCCGGCGCGCTTTCTGAGAGGTCGCGAGGCCTCACTGCGGCCGTCTTGGGTGGGGCGGCGGTGTCTGCCCCCTCGGGGGCGTTCAATTGAATTTTCGGAGGTCCCCGCGGATTTCCCAGGGGCGGCGCCTCCAGCGCCGCCCCTGGCCCGCCCCGCGCGCCACGGACGGGGGGGGTCCAGCACCCATCCAAGAAATCCGCGCGCATTTTTGTTCCAGTCGACCGTCCGAGTGGCTGGGTAGTTAACATTGTCTTCGTCGTCGGGTGGGGGGGGAGGGGGGAGGAGATTGTCGTTGGCTGTCGGAAGTCTCGTCGCCTCGGGATGCTTTCCAGCAGCTGTGTTTCGTCGCGAGCTCTCTGGGGATGCTTGGCTCGTCATTTCATTGCGTGTCCACGGGATTGGGTCTCGGTGCCAAGCAAGATCTGCGAGAGTATCCGTGTGGACCACTGTGCTCGTCGCCCCCGGTTCGGCAACACTCAGATCGGGGGTTGCTGAAGATGCCACTGTCCCAAGATGCCCGCAGTTTGCCGCTGCATGTTTCGGAGCCCCCCGGCGCCCACCTGGGCCTTGTGAGGGGTGCTCTGGAGGCCGTGTGGGCCTCCCCGGAAGTCCCGAGGGCACCTCGGGCCAGAGGCACGTCTGGCAACGCCCGAGCAGGCACGCTCGCGAGGCGTGCGCGCCGGCCCCCAAGGGCGCAGCGCGCGTGCTCTAAGGTATGACAGTCTGGGATCAGTGGCGGGCGCGTTCTGGCCGTGCCGCGTGGGCAGCGATGCTCTGTAAGAGCCCTGCACGGCGTTTCGTTCTGTGTCTGCTTTCGTCGCCCAGCTTCCCCTGGTGCCCATCTTCCCCCTTTTCGTCCCCCCTCTCCCCCCAATATGGTGGTGGAGACCCCCTGCCCGTCGGCTGGGAAGCAGCCGATGTTCCCCATGCGCGCCGAACCTCGCTCCCCTGCCCCGCCCCCTGCCCTCCCCTGCTCCCTCGACCTCGGCAAAAGCCACAAAAAAGATGTCCCCCGAGTCCTCCGCCGCGTCGAGTCGGGCGTGCGCCTCCTGGCGCACGTCCGCACCGTGCCCGGAGGAGGAGGAGGAGGAGGAGGAGGAGGAGGAGGAGGAGCTCCCTGCCTCTCTCCCTGCCCCGCCCCCTGCCTCTCCTGCTCCCTCGACCTCGGACAAAGCCACAAAAGAAATGTCCACCCGAGTCCTCCGCCGCGTTCCTGGTCGGGTGTGCGCCTCTCTTTTGCGCACGCCGCCGCACCGTGCCCGCACGCCCCGCGCCGCCTCGGCAGCTCACCGGCCTGGAGCATGTCCCTATCCCTGTGCTCAGGAGGGGCAAACACACAGACACAATTCATCGGCGATTCCCAGAAAGTATGGGAAGATATGGGAAGTGGGGGGGAGGACAAAAACCCAGAAAATAGAGGAAAATATGGGGGATGCTTTTATTTGTGTGTACTTATTTGTGTGTCCCAGTTCCCCTTCATATGCTGGGCACCTCCTCATCACGATGTCAATCTTAGGGGTTCCCTTATTTTTTGATGGCGAATCCCTAAGATTGTCATCGCCTTTTGGCGTGTCAGTCTCAGGGATAGGGATACGTTCGAGGCTGGTGAACAGCTGCTCCCCGAGGAGCTGGGGCGCCGGCAGCTGGCGCAGACCACCGGCGTCGTGCTCGGCCTGGCGGGCATGGCCTCGGCGGCGTCCCGGGCCAGGGCGCGCGTCGGCGAGGAGCGCGAGCGGCAGGCGGCTCTCGTCGCTGCCGGCGCGCGTCGGCCGAGGTTCGCGGATGGTCGGTTCGAGGTGCGGTGGAGATCGAGGCTCGATGGATCGAGGCTCGGGGTGTATCGGTGGCCCGCGCGTCGTGTGTTGCTTTGGCGAGCAGTTCGATCGGCCTAGGCATGGTTGCTTGGAGGTCCAGCAAATCCGCGCAATCATGCTCATGCAGTTTCCAGCGGCAGCCGGCTCCTCGTCGCCGCCGCCGTGTATCTATATACCGCGTATCGAGGATGGTCTTGAGATGTACAACGTATCCAGTGGCACGTGCGTCGTTTATTGTCAGAGCGAGGGGCCCGAACGGTCTGGTATGGTCATTGACCGCGTGGCTACAGTGGGGTTCCGTTGCAAGTATTGTCGTCCTTGTCGTTCTTGTTGTCGTCCTCGCCCGCGCCCCGCCCGCGACCAAACCGCCCGCTTTCCCTCCCGCTGCCCTGCTCCTTCCTCGCACCTCCGCATGTCAACCAGCTTGGTACATCCCCCACGCCGCTCGTGACCCCACAGTGAGCTCCACCGACGGCCCCTGTGGCCGCGGCCACATGCGGTCGCGCCACCCGGTACGGGGCTCTGCCGAAGGGCCCCAGAGGCCACGTTCGCATGCGTCCATGTCACCCAACACCTCGCTTCGTGGCCCCCCCATAGGGAGCTCAACCGAAAGCCCCAACGGACGCGGTCGCATGCGCCCGCACCTCCCAGTGAAGCGCTTCGTGACCTCATATGGAGCTCCACCGAAGGCACCAGTGGCCGCGGTCACCCCAGAGGTCGCCTTTGCATGTGTCCGCGCCACCCTGTACACCGCTTGGTGACCCCATAGGGAGCTCCACGGAAAGCTCGATTGACAGCCTTCGCATGCGTCCGCGCGATCCAGCGCCTCATGGCCAGTGGCCGCGGCCCAATGCGTCCCGCCACCCTGCACAGCGCGTCGTGGCCCCCGTAGGGAGCTCCACCGAAGGCCCCAGTGGCCGCGGCCGCATGCGTCCCCCCAACCCGGCACAGCGGTTTGTGGCCCCACGGGCAGTTCCACCGACGACCCCGGTGACCGCGTAAGCATGCGTGTCCCCCACCCAGTACAATGTTTCGCGCCCCCCCCCTACCGCCCAGTACAGCGCGTTGTGTCCCCAAGGGGGGGTCCACCGATAACCCCCGTGGCCGCAGCCGCATGCGCTTCCCCCTCCCATTGTAGGACACCCCTCGCGCGCTCCGTGCCCCCGTAGGGACCACCACCGAATGCTTTACCAACGACTACATATGGTTGGGTCCGTCGGCCGGATATTTTTGTTGGCGGGCCTGACTGGGGGGGCCGCATGGTCCATGGTGTGTCGCTGGCTTGGTGGCGGATGGGGTGCACAGTAATAAGGAGCCGTGGTCAACATTATTGATTGGGAGAGGGCGGGTTGGAAGTTGAAACGCCCTAAACCATGCACGCCCAGACGGATGGTGGTCGACGGCGACGCTTTTCAGCGATCATGGAGATGGCGATCATGACGACGACCACGACCGCCGACGGCGAGCGAATGCCTCCACGAGAACGAAGATCTTCGACGAAAACGAATATGTTCGACGACCACATGCACGACGGCGACGGCGACCACGGGTATCTCCGACGATTGCAAATGACCGCTACCATGACGTCGGCGACGACCGCCAACCACGAGCAGACGGGACGATCACGACGACCGCCGACGACGACCGCCAAATCCAGACGACGGCATTCGACGGCGACGATCTTTGACGATAGTCAACTTCGACGACGACGGGTACGACCACATTGACGGCGACGACAGAAACTGGCGACGACCGACGGCCCTTTCGAGGACGACTACCTTCGACGGCGACCAAGACGGCCACGATGACGGCGGGCGACGACGACGACCGACGACGGCCCCGGAAGTTTGACCCTCGGAGGCCCCTGAGGAGTCCCTCAGGGGCAGTGGCGGGCCACCTGGGAGGCCAGGAGGCCCAGCGGGGGCCGAGAGCCTCCAGCGCCAGTCAAGTCAAGTCAAGTCACCCCGCTCGCACGAGGGCGGGCCCATATAGGGCGCGAAGGAAAAAATCAAATGCCAGTCACTATTCAGGCCTGGTGCGCAAAGGAAGCATCGCGCCTGCTCACGTCGACGTTCAAAGCCCTCCCCGAAGGGCCGAGGTCTCGGCCGCGGCCCTCGCCCACCCGCGGCAGCGCCGCCACCGCCGCCCCTCGCCGCCGCCGCCCGGACGGGCGCGAGAGGCCGCCGCGCCGTGGCGTCGCCGCGCGGCGCCGCCTCTCAGAATGGGAAAACACACACAGACACAATGAATCGTCGACTCCCAGGAAAATATGGGAAAACATGGGAAGTGGGGGGAAGACAAAAACACAGAAAATATGCGAAAATATGGAGAATCTGGTTATTTGTGTGTATTTATTTGTGTGTCCCAGGGCCCCTTCAGCCTCTCCGCCGGCGCCGTCGCCGCGCGGCGCCGTCTCCGTCCACGCCATCGCCGCCGCCGCGCGCCGCGCGCGCCCTTGGCCTCGCGGGAGGCCGCAGCGGAGGCCGCCGAGGCGGCGCAGCTGCTGCCGCCCCCCACCTTCGGCGGCGCGCTCGGCGGGAGCGGCGGCGGCTGCCCCTCAGGCTCCGCCGCCGAGGCGGGAGCGTGCGGGGGGGGGATGCTTGGCATCGCTCGGGCGTGCGATCTTGTTAATATGTGTATATATATATATAAACAAAAAAGATGAAGCAAAAAAGGAGGCAGGGGCTATCGGGCAGCTTTACTGGTCGCCTTGCGAAGAGCGGCGCACGCGAAGCCGAAGAGTGCAGAGGGAATGGACGTTCGGGCGATGGCGAAGGGGGGGGACCAGCCCAGGGGGTCGAGGTTCGAGGATCGGGGCTCGCGCTCTGGAAGAAGTCGGTGGTCATCCTGGGGTGCCCTCGTGACCGCGGTCAGTCCGCCTCGAGAGTCTGGTCGGAGCGCACCCAGGAGAGGGCCATGGGCCGATGTGTGGCATTTGATCTGGGGCATCGATAGGGGGCGACTGGCCCAGAGGGTCAGTGCATCGACCATCGAGCGCCTTCTCCATCGCCCACCCTCCCGCCACAGGAGCCCGCGGTACGGTTTCGCTACCAGGGGCATGGCTCCGATCCGTCGGTGATGCATCGCTGGCTCAGGCTCGATGTTCCCCCCCCGAGCTGGTCCGCCCCCATCTTTGCCGTTTTAGGAGGGGAGGGCGGGGGGGCAGGATGAGGAGGAGGAGGAGGAGGAGTAGCAGGAGGAGCAGGAGGAGGAGGAGCAGGAGGAGCAGGAGGAGGCAGAGGGGGAGCGGGAGCTTCTTGGAAGCACGCGTGCCCGTGCCAGCGTGGCAGATCCACGAGGCGAGGCGACCTCCTGGCGGGTGCAGCAGGGATCCTGCCCTCCGCCCCGCGCCGCCCTCGCCGGCCGCTCGGGCGTGTGATGTTTTTTTTCTCGTTGAGGACCATCGAGGGGCACCTTTGCCCACCCTGCGGCAAAAAATGCACGCGCGAAGCCGAGAGAGGCGCAGGGAAGGGACGTCCGAGCGATGGCGAGAGGTCGTTCAACCCACCCCTATCCCCATCCGTGTCCAGACCCCCACCATTTTACCACCCCTGTTGGGGATGAGGCATGCGCATACTCATCGAAGCCCGAAGGAAACAGCATATAGCTTCATCTAGGAGGGTAGATCGGCCAGTGGGGCCCAGGCCAAGCCGGTGGGGATAGGGATTAGTTAAACGATGCTCATCCAGAGTCTGCTCGCTGGGTCGTCCGCGTCGCCCCCCTGTCGTCGTCAGGGACGTCCTCGCCAGCGTCGTCGGTGCGGGCGCCATCGTCGTCCACGTCGGCGTCGTCACCGGGCGTCGTCGTCGTCGTTGTCGGAGAGCAAGGTTGAGGGCGAGAGCGGAGGAAGGGGGAGGATGTGGAGGAGGAGGAGGAGGAGGAGGAGGAGGAGGGCGGAAGGAGGAGGAGCACGAGGAGGCGGAGGAATACACAGGGAGGGAGGAGGAGGAGGAGGAGGACGAGCAGGAGGAGGCAGTAACATGGGAACTCTGGAGACAGACGGAGCCTGGAGGACGGGCGAGCTATCGGCCGAGAGCAGTTCTGGGGCAACAGCCTCTCATGTCGTACGTTTGGTCGACACGGGGTCCAAGAAGCCCCATCTGAGGCGGTGCAGGAAGGACTCGCCTTCGAGGATCGAAGGAGTTGATATCTCATCCCGGGTGGAAGGCGGCGGAAGCCACACGAGGGCAGCTCCGCGTGGCGGAGTGTCAAGAGATGGCAAGGTTTTGTGATCCAGGGTTCCCGGAGCCCGCCACATGTTCGAGCTACCCCATCTGTTCCCGGTGTGACACCTCCTGCTTACGGTGTGGCCCTACCTGCAGTCAACCCGCATCATACGGGTGGGCAACTTTCCCAAGGGTGCCACTGCATCCTTGCCCCTGCGGCCCTTCCTTGGCCACGTTCGCTGGCCGCGCCCCGCTCGAAACGCTCCGAGACGGCCTTCCCAAGGCCCTTGCACCCTTCTCGTGCGTCCTTCTTGTACGGGTTGGCTGTATTTCCGCACCGCTCGGCACAGGAGCGGGAGGCAGCGGAGAGGGGGGCGGCGGCGACCGCAGGCGGACCCTCAGCCGCTCGCGGCCTCCTGGGGGCAGCAGGGTCAGCCTCTGAGACTATGCCCAGTCCACAAGGATTCCCGCCGCATCGGGCCAGGCGGAGGGGAAGGAGGAGGAGGAGGATTAAGGAGGAGGAGTGAGGAGGAGGACAGGGAGGAGGAGAGGGAAGAGGAGAAGGAGGAGGAGGAGGAGGAGGAGGGGGAGGAGGAGGTACCTTGGGGCGCCTCATGGGAGCGCCCTGGCAGGCTCCTCCGGGCGTCTTGAATGGGCGTTCCGGCAGGTGCACACCAGCCTAAACCGCTCGCATGGGTGAGCGGACAGTGGCAACGATGAGCCCAGAGGGTTGTTGCCTCACCCGTGACGTGAGGCTCAGCAGGCGGCAGATCCAGGAGGGGGGAAACGAGAGCGGTCGAACTGCTCCATATGAGCGTCTTGGCCCCTGGTGAGCGGGCGCGCGCGCGTTGGGCATGGTCCACGCTGCCAGCGCACTGGCTGGGACAACGCCGCGCCTGCGTTTTGCCCAGGGCATTGGGACCATCGCGTCCCAACTGTGCATGCAACGCGCGGGAGGCGATGAGCGAGGGCTCGCTCGCCCGCCCTCCTTTCCCGTTCTGTTTGCGCACGTGCCACCTCCATCTCTCTTCCTCTCTCCCTGCTGGCTCTCCCCCTTTTCTTGCCAATGCGCAACCCGATGCTACCGATCGGATGCGGCGTGAAAGAATCGAAGGAGAGATGACAAGAGGAGGAGGAGGAGGAGGAGGAGGTGTAGGGGAAGGTCGCAATCGATGGGGAGGATGCGCAGCAGGAAGAGGCAGTATCAGGAAGAGGAGGAGGAGGAGGAGGAGGAGGAGGAGGAGGAGGAGGACATGTAGGAGGAACTGTACAAGGGTGAGGAGGACAGGGGGCGGTCATAATGAAGTGTATGATGTTGTTGGCGGGCGTGGTTGCGTTGTGTTCTTGCTGTGGATTGACGTCCTGAGTCGCGCGGCCTCGTGGAATCCTGGTCGGGCCCCCATGTATGCCATGTCCCGCGTCGTCTGTTCCCCCACGCATTGCGGTTTTACGGATTGCGGCCGCTCTCGTCGGAGAAGCCGAATGCAACATTGTTCAAGAGGAGAAGGCGGAGGGGAAGCAGGAGGAGGTGAAGGAGACGTTTGCAGGTCATCGTTGATGTCGTTGTCCATGAACGTTTCGACGATTCCATTGCGTGCGAAGCGCGCGCGGGAAATGGGGACAGAGATATGGAGGCTGCGCAGCATACGCGGATAGAGAAACGGAGGCGAAGCAGGACACGGATGGAGGATCGTGATAGCTGCAAGAACAGGGTACAATAATAGGAATACGCCAATGATTATGATTAGGCACATGGCTTTGGCGTCGCGCGTGGTTCGAGTGTATAGATCGAAGACGCCTACGGCGAATCACAGCCGCCCCCTGCCTTTAGGAACCGCCCATGTGGCCGAGCGTTGTGGCAAGGGCTCTGCCAAGCTATCGGACCATGTGCTCCCCAGCCAGTGTGGAAACCCTTGGGGGAACACTTGGGGAGGATGGCGGGGAAGATCAGGAGGAGGAGGAGGAGGAGGAGGAGGAGGAGGAGGAGGAGGAGGAGGAAGAGGGGGGGGAGGAGGAGAAGGAGGAGGAGGAGGAGGAGGAGGAGGAGGAGGAGGGGGAGGAGGGGGAGGGGAGGAGGACAAGCTAGGTGCGCTCGCGTCATATCTGACGTCCTACCCCTCCCTCCCATCCCTTACCATGGCGCTGATTTTCTCTATCCGCGGACGCGTGTCGTAGCGGACCTGTGGCTCCGCGCGCGCGTGCGTAGTGGGTGGTGGTGCACGTGCGTGCGTGCGTGCGTGTGTGCGTGGTTGTCGTGGTGGTGGTGGTGGTGGTGGTGGTGGTGGTGGTGGTGGTGGTGGTGGTGGTGGTGGTGGTGGTGGTGGTGGTGGTGCTGGTGGTGGTGCTGGTGCTGGTGGTGGTTGTGTGGTGGTGGTGGTGGTGGTGGTGGTGGTGGTGGTGGTGGTGGTGGTGGCGGTGCGGCGCGGTGGTGGCGGGCGGATGGGCGCGCGAGAAAAAGGCCCGCGCTGGGGCGAGAACGCCATCCTGAACGACGGAGGCCAAACACCGATCCGAAAATGAGGCCCACGCTGCAGCGGGAGCACGATTCGGAACGATTCGGGAGCAGAAATGAGGCCGGCGCCTCAACGAGAGCAGCATTTTCTGAAAACGTGACGCCAGCGCCTCAGCGAGAGTCGTTTCCCGGGATTTCCCGGGCATCCTGTGTGTTTAAAAAACAGTACGCGGAGGGTGCGCGGCCATCACCCGGACGCCATCAGGGGAATAGGGAGAGTATATTCATATTGAATGATTGTGGAGGACGAGGAGGAGGAACGGGTATCTTGGGAGCCTCTGGGGGCACTCTTGGGGCCTCATTGGGGCTTCTTGGGAGCCGCTTGGAGGCATCGTGGGAGCCCCCTGGGGCCTCTTGGGGGCCTTGGAAGGCGTATCGGGGGCGGAAGGCCGAACAAACGTAAATGCCAACATCCTTCAAACACCTAGGGACTATGAATGATGGTGGCATGTGTTCAGGCCTCCCTGGAGGCCCTCTTGGGGATCCCTTGGGCCGTCTTGGCGAAATCTTGGGGGGCCTCTTGGGCCGTCTTGGGCCATCTTAGAGCCGTCTTGGGCCGTCGTGGTGGGCTCCTGGCCCTACTGACGCCGTCGGAAGCCATCTTGGGGGCCTCTCTGGGCCGACGTAGGGCCCTCTTGGGGTGTTCCAGGGTCGTCTTGGAGGCCATTTCGGGCGTCTTGGGGGCCTCTTGGGCCGTCTTGGGGCCCCCTTGGGGCCGTCATGGGGGCCTCTCGGGCCGTTCTGGGGCCATCTTGGAGGCTTCTTGGGCGATCTTTGGGGGCTCTCGGGCCGTCTCGGGCCGTCGGAAGGCCAAACAGAAGCAGCAGCATCTTTCAAATCCCATGGGGGAAATCAATGACGTTGGCCTTTTGTCGGGCCTTGCTGGAGGGCCTCTTGGAGGCCTCTGGGACCGTCTTGGCAACCTCTTGGGAGTTTCTTGGGCCGCCTTGGACCATCTTAGAGCCATCTTGGGCCGTCTTGGTAGCCTCCTGTCCCGTCGGAAGCCGCCTTTGTGGCATCTCTGGGCCGACTTGGGGTCCTCTTTGGGTGCTCCAGGGTCGTCTTGGAGGCCATCTTGGGCGTATTGGAGGCCTCCTGGCCCGTCTTGGGGCCCTCTTGGGGTCGTCTTGGAGGCCTCTTGGGCAGTTCTGGGGCCATCTTGGAGGCCTCTGCGGCGATCCGAACGTGATCTTTAGAGGCTCTTGGGCCGCCTCGGGCCGTCGGAAGGCCGAAAAGAAGCAGTTGCCAAACTTCTTCAAAAACGGCAGGGAATTTCAATGATTTTGGTCTCTTCCGTCCTTCCTGTAGGACCTCTTGGGGGCCTCTTGGGCCGTCTGGGAGGCCTCTTGGGGGCTTCCTGGGCCGTCTGCCGTCATCATGAGGCCGTCCAGGGCCGTCTTGGAGGCTTCTTGGGCGAACGTGGAGGCATCTTGGACTCTCCTGGGCCGTCGCCTTGGTCCACCTTGGGCCGTCACCTTGGATGCCACCTTGGCAGTCTTGGAGGCCATCTTGGGCCGTGTTGGATCCACCTGGGCCAGGAAAGCCTTTTCCGGAGCCACCCCGCCCCGAAGCCTCCCGGGTGGCCGGCGGGACGGGCCGAAGCCCCAGGGGGGAGGGCTTGTTGGAAAGGAACACACACACACCAAAAGGGGCTCAGCACGTCAGTCAGGAGGGAAAGAAACACACGGACACAATTAATCGGCGATTCCCCAGAAAATATTGGAAAATACAAGAAGTGGGGGGGAAGACAAAAACCCAGAACATATAGGAAAATGTGGGGAATCTTTTTATTTGTGTGTGCATTTATGTGTGTGTCCCAGGGCCCCTTCAGTCAGGCACCCCATGCGGCCAGAGCACAGGGGGCGGCGGCTCGAAGACGCTCACGGCGAATCACCGCCGCCCCTTGCCTGTTGGAATCGCCCGTGTGGCCGAGCGCTGCGGCAGGAGCTCTGCCAAGCTATCGGACCGTGCGTTCTCCCAGCCGTTATGGAAACCCTTCGGGGAGGATGGCGGGGAAGATCAGGAGAATTGGAGGCGGAGGAGGAGGAGGAGGGGACATCTTGGGAGCCTCTGAGGGCACTCTTGGGGCCTCCTGGGAGCTTCCTGGGAGCCTCTTGGTGGCATCTTGGGGGCCTCCTTGGGTATCTCTGAGGCCTTGGGGGTCTTCTCGGGGGCTCTTTTGCCGTTTTAGGGCGTTCCTGGCCGGTTTGACGCCGTCGGAAGCCGTGTCGGGGGCCTTTTTGGGGCCGGCTTGAGGCCCTCTTGGGGTGCTTCAGGGCCGTCTTGTAGGCCATCTAGGTCGTCTTGGAGGCCATCTTGGGCCGTCTTGGGGCCCCTCCTTGGGCCGTCTTGTGGGCCTCTTGGGCCGTTCTGGGGCCATCTTGGAGCCTCTTGGGCTATCTTGGGGCGATCTTTGGGGGCTCTTTGGCCGTCTCGGGCCGTCGGAAGGCCGAAGCAAGCAAATGCTTTCAACATCTGCGGGATATTATTGATTTCAACCTCAGGAATGTTCCAAATGCTCAAGCACATGTACAAGCAAATACTAGAAACTCCTCAGGGATATAAATGAAGTCAAACTCTTTCAGATTTTCCTGGGGGCCCTCTTCGAGGCCTCGTGGGCAGTCTTGGAGATCTCTTGGTGGCCTCCTTGGCCGTCCTGGGCCATCTTCGAACCATCTTGGACCGTCTTGATGGCCTCCTCGCCCGTCTGACGCCGTCTGAAGCTGTCTTGGGGGCCTCTCTGGGCCGACTTAGGGCCCTCTTGGGGTGCTCCAGTGTCTTGGAGGCCATCTAGGGTATCTTGGAGGCCTCTGGTGGCCCTCTTGGGGCTGTCTCGGGGGCCTTTTGGGTCGTTCTGGGGCCATCTTGCAGGCCTCTTGGGCGATCTTGGGGCGATCTTTGGATGCTCTTGGGCCGGGCCGTCTCGGGACGTCGGGAGGCCGAAATCAAGCAAATACCAAAATCGCTCAACAACCAACGGACAATCAATCCTTTCAGCCTCTTCGGGCCGTCTGCAGGTCCTCTCGGAGGCCGCGTGAGCCGTCTTGGAGATCTCTTGGGGGCCTCTTGGGCCGTCTTTGGCCATCTCTTTGGCCGTCTTGATGGCCTCCTGGCCCGTCTGACGCTGTAGGAAGCCGTTTTGGGGGCCTTTCTGGGCCGACTTGAAACCTTTTTGGGCTGCTCCAGGGCCGTCTGAGAGGCCATCTAGGGCGTCTTGGAGGCCCTTGGGCCGTCTTGGGTATCCTTGGGGCAGTCTTCGGGGCTTCTTGGGCCGTTCTGGGGCCATCTTGCAGGCCTCTTGGGCGATCTTGGGGCGATCTTTGGGGGCTCTTGGGCCGTCTCGGGCCGTCGGGAGGCCGAAAAGAAGTACATGCCAAAATCGCTCAAACATCTGCGGGATATCAATGATTTCAGCTTCTTCGGGCCTTTCCAGGGGACCTCTGGGAGATCTTGTGGGCCGTCTTGGGGGCCTCTGGGGCCTTCTTGGAGGTCTTTTGAAGTTCTCTGGGGACGTGGGCCCTCATTGCGTTCTGCAGCGAATTTTGATGAATCTTGGACTCTCTTGGGCCGTCTTCGAGGCCGTTTTGGACCATGTTGGGCGAATTTGGAGGCCGTCTTGGCCGTCTGGGCGGCCATCTTGAGCCGCCTTACGGGATTTGTTGGGGACGAGGTTGTTTCTGGTTCTTTCTGGGTGGCTGGCTGGACGGGCCGAAGCCCCAGGGGGGGTTCGGAAAAATAGCCCAAACCAAACCGTATCGGGTTAGACGCCGTCGGAAACCGTCTTGGGGGCCTCTTTGGGCCGACTGGGGGCCCTCTTGGGGTGCTCCAGGGCCATCTTGGAGGCCATCTTGGGCGTCTTCGAGGCCTCTCGGGCCGTCTTGGGGCCCTCTTGGGGC